ACTGAAATGACTTCAGAATAGACTACATAATAATCAGTATCACAACTGGAGTTAATTCCGATTAGCAAAAGAGTATTAGTCTTTCGCATATTTCGAAATATTGCATGATCAACGGCGTCTACTCTTTACAACAAACGGCAGTCCTAACAAGCGTCAAGGTAGGTTACGCGACAAAACAGACTACCAGTTGCCGAAGGTTATCAGGTAGAACACTGCAAGTCAGACCTCCAGAATGTGAATTTACCTAAGGCTGTCAGTTTCTACTTTTTCTGATAAACTGACGGAGGAAACAAGTAGGAGGGATAAAAATGAGCAGCTTATATTTGTATCGAAGAAGTTAATATTAAATACAATTTTACATTAATTAACACAAAAATACATGAACCGAGTTAATAAAATATCTTCGCCACATAGGCCGGTTTGTCCTGTAACCGACAGGGCTCTCACTGGAAGCAAGCTACAAGCCCAAATGAAGTAAACTGTTTACTACGCATCTCGCTGTCTTCCTCCTTCACACGCTCCTTTCCTACACGAGCATTAACATTTGTTAATTTATTGATTTATTTATTATTAATTTCCGTGAAAATGAAAAGGACGACATTTCAAAAAAATTTAATCTGCGAGAAAGCACGCAGGAAATGTTGGGAGATCCGCTGACGAGCCGACCCCATCACAGTTCTGTTACTGAGCGGCAGAATACGGGTGAAACACTAGTCTGGGTTCTTACCTAGCACCTGTGCTGCTAAAAAGGACAATCATTCCGTAAGCTCACTTACTCTTCATATCAGCAAAAGCTAACTGCATAAATAAGACTCATCCAAATATTTGGGGACCGATATTATTTGCAGGTGACACCTTCAAGAAAAAGATTTGATGTTGTTACAATACGTACACTGAGATTACTATAGTTTTAATGTTCTTTGGACAAGTTTCGTGTCGTTACAACCAATCGACGTGAAAGATTACAATTCGAGCTCAGCCGGCAGCACCAATAACTTTAGCGGTGCCGGAGATTTGACGCAAACTTTTTGCTTTCGTAGAAACCTTCTAGAGGTCATCAAGTTTATTAGTACCAACAACTCAAATAACACTAGTAATGTGTACAGAATTTAGTGGCAGCTGGTAGGCAGGCATATTAACCGATGTAAACATTTTGTGGTCCAATAGCAACGCCCTCGACGCCCACGTGAGCGTGGCGGGTGCACTGCTGAGAAGGTCTAAAAAGACCGAAACGCATCATGAGTGCTTCCATCCAAAGCGAGACAACACGGGCAATATTTTCAAAAAACCGGCCATGGCAGCTTTTTGAAGTCAGCCGACTGAAGACTTTTAAATTTGTTTAGAAATCCAACTCTGTATGATCCCATAAATCGTTCTTATGCTGCTTAGTCCTTTTATTGTAAAGTCAGCGAATCGACAGAAACAATAACCACATGTCCGAGGACTTCAGGTAACTTGAAATATTTCCATGATTTTTGACGACGGACTCCTGCGCGAGTTCGAGAGCTCGGGAAAATAAACATCTAATCGTGATGCTCACTCGTACCCACCACCTATGCATTTATGTTAGAAAACGCGCCACAATGCCCATTCTTCTCAGTTACTTCCTGGGACTCGCATGTTCGGTTGTATTGGCATATTCTATCCCCTCCCTAAAGGAAAAATGGAGAAAGCGCTGTCAGAATACATCTCACGTCTGGATGAGCTCAGTTCGGAACTGAGTCAGATGCGTAGGATAGTGACGAACTTCAAGGACAAATGTGATGTCGCGAAAGTTGTTGGAACGTCAGTGTCAACTGGTGGCACTCTACTTGCCATTGGAAGCGCTCTCTTTGCCATACCAACAGGCGGTTTATCTCTGCTGGTGACGGGTGCAGCCATCGCAACCACCGTAGCCGGTGCAGCAACGAATGGCATTACGGACGCAATAAATATCAGCGAGACAAAGTAATTTGTTCTTTTGTTTAAAGTTGCTTGCAAATTCCTTAGCGAGTTTTCTTTATTTAGGATCCAGATTTCACTTTGTCTGAAAATGTGTGTGAGAAATGCTCTTAATTGTTGAATCGCGTTGAGAACAGAAGTAAGCACAATTTAAAGTAAGTTACTTTGTAATGCTATTTTCCTTGGAATCGCACAACGATACCATTTAATTTATATTCGCTATCTGGAAAGTGGACAGAATAATTATCGTCTTGCATTTAAAAAAATTAAAATCAATACATATTAGAGAAGGAAACTATTCGAGTGTAGAGAGGACCATTTATTTAAAAAAATGGTATAAATATACACTAACTTATATCTGTAATCTAGGAAACCTAGTTACCAGAAACAGGTTTCCGGATATTATTCAGATGAACACAAAGAACTTTAGTAAAAAAATGTGGTAGTTAAGTCAACAGAATCTCAGCCTATGGATCCAAAATCCCTTCGGCTAATCAAATAATACAGGGAAACTGCTGAATAGTGGAACATGAACGGGATTCGGATGGACGATTTCTCCGTCAGTTTTATATAATGCTTTTAGGATAAAGACAACATGAAAAATAGGCCTTTTATGCCACTCAATCACCTAATAAATAACATTTTAAAAGTCTGACTGACGCTCTAATCGCTTGCTTGGTTTCGATCAGCATAATTTTTTAATTTTTTGTGCGGAAGCTCTCGCTGTGCCTAATAAAGTTGGTCGGAGTAATTGGTCCCAATAGCCAGAATCATTACAATATCTAATTTGACCTTAGGATCTGAGAACTATGCAGTGAAAACATGGCTTAACTTTGAATAAATAATACGAGGTAAAAAGTAAATCAATTGAAACAGCGTGACTCGATGGTTTTGGATGTATCGGGTGCTGCAAGAAGACGGGGCAAAAGTAGCTTATGTAGCCCCACTCATATGCCCCTAGTCCCAGCATTTT